GGGGGACAAAACAGAAGAGACTCATAAATATGGAGAACAAACAGAGGGTTACGGGAGGGGTTATGGGAGGGGGGATGGGCTAAATGGGGGAAGGGGCACTAAGGAATCTACTCCTGAAATCATTGTTGCACTATAGGCTAACTAATTTGGGTGTAAATTTAAAACAACAAAAAATTAAAATAAAAAAAAAAGAATGGCAGGTAAAAAATAATTTCTTTATAACCTGCAGCCCATTGACAAATACTTGAGGCAAACAGAGTAAAAGGTTTCTCCAGAAACCCCCTACTGTCGTAATATTAATGCCTTACTACAGGAAAAACAACCTCAGGTTGACAATAGCTAGGCCTCCAGTATCTTATTAACCTTCTAAATTTAACATATGAAAATCCCTTTAGGAACTTCCTCTGGACTTGATCTCCTCCAACTGCATAGTATATAATCAGTCACTCCTCACAACCCCAGGGCAGCTCTTTCTGCCCACGGGTCCTGTCCCTGCACTTTAATAAAATGACCTTTTTGCCCCAAACTCTGAAGAATTCTTTCTTGGCCACAGGCTCCGGACCTCAGCACCTTTCCAAAACCCCATCACTGTTGTAATAAAAGATTAACAGGAGAAAAACAGACATTTAATAACATGTATACCTTCCGTATATATGGGAGTTACCCAGGAAAAGTGACTAACTCCCCAAAAGGGCCCAAGACACCACTTTGTAAATAGTGTCTCTAGCTAAAGGTACAAGATGTTGAGGGGGTGATGGGGGCCGGAGAAGGGCAGTCATGCGAGGTTACGAGAAGCTCAGAAATAAAAAAAGATATGGTCGTGATGGAGATTGAAGTCTTGGCCCTCTCCATGACAAGTTGCTAGAGGTCTGGTCACCCAGACCAATGTTCCTGGTGCAGAGAGGGAGACACCCCCACAAATGGAGATTTTCCCTTGCAGATGTAAATGTCGCTTACAAAATGGCAACTTCTGCTCAGTTTACAGAGTGTTTCTTATGTCTGTAGTTTCTTCAAACAATCAGCCTAAAATAATCCTTATGCCCAAGAGGCATAGTTTGGGGCACCGGGAGGTCTCTACTCTCAGAGGCAATGCCCTCAGCCACTATTCCAGACTCTTCACTACTAATCTTGACATTTGTGACTCAGGGCCCCTCCCCGTGACATCCTAGAGCCTCTGCCTCTACGAGGTGGGGGACGCGGCGGCAAACGCTGGGCAGAGGGGGGCAGTTTGACAGCAGTCCTGACCTCAAGGGGCCCACATCAAGCGCCAGAAAAACCAAGACCTTCCATCATGGCTCCACAAGCGCTAAGTAACAGGCTGGCGTGGGTGACGGAGGAGCGAGGGTGCTTATGGTCATCCCCATGGAGGGGCCTGGGGCTGCGTGATCCAGAGACAAATCTGCTAAAATGGAGAGGAAAGAGTCAACGAGGATTTCAGCCACCTCCGCTTTGACCTCAGTCTGTCCTTTCTAATCGATTAAACTCTTTCCAGCTTATCTCTTTGCTCAGGCAACAGACCCAGCGGGCAAAGGATCCTGTGGGGACTGAAACGCCCTCCTCAAGCAACAGGGACTGCCCTGACCCCGCGTGACTGACTCCAAGACCAGGATCGATTTGACCTTCACTGCCCACCTGCAGGTACCCACTGACCTTTGGCCCACATTTTTCTTATATAGGCTGGAAGTATTTTCAGCACTTTGGAGACAGCCTTTGAGACATGCGTCTCCTGTCTTCCTGGTGTTAGGCTCATTGAAATAAACCCCTTTCTTATTTCCCCACAATTCATCTCTCTGCCTCGGGATTTTGCCAGTGGTGAGTGACCAGACCCGGTCGGTTTGGGAACCCTGGAGCCAACCACCGTTTTGCTTTCCAAGTTCACGGCACAAAGCGTGTCTCTGGGCACCAGGTATTTTAGCCGGAACGCACCCGGGCCTTCCCTTCCACACCGCCACCCTCTCTCTTCCTGCATTTGGTTCAGAAGTTCCTGGACACCCAGAGCCAGGTAGAGCAAGAGTGGTCTGCAGTTTCAGCCTGCCCAGGAGCTTGTTGGAGATGCCAACTCAGGAGGCCCCCCCCAGTGGCTCAGCTGGTTAAGCATCGGAGTCTTGATCTGGGCTCAGGTCATGATCTCACAGTTTGTGAGATCAAGCCCTGCAGCAGGCTCTGTGCTGACAGTGCTGTACCTGCTTGGGATTCTCTCCGCGTCCCTCTCTCTCTCTCTTTCTCTCTCTCTGCCCCTACCCTGTGTGCTCGCTCTCTCCAAATAAATAAGCTTAAAAAACAAAAGGAGAGACGTGACTCAGGTCTTGCCCCAGATCTGCTGCATCAGAGTCCGCATTTTATTTAGATCCCCAGGTGATCTGTCGGTCTGTGAACCTTTGAGAAGCCTTGACACCGGCCAGCAATTCTTGAACTCTGCTCAACATCAGAAACACCTAGGGATCCGAAAGGTACATGCAGACTCCCTCACTCCCAGGCAGGATCTCGTATCATCAAAAACCAACTCTCTGCCCTTGTGACCCATGCATCAGAACTTTTGTCTTTAACCTCTCAGATGACTATCCCAATGCACCAAAGACTTTGTGAACCAGTCCTCCTAGACCTTAGCTTCTTCATGAGCAGAATGGGGAGATTCCTTCCCAGCCCGATACCTTACAAGGCGACCTAGAATCGCCATTGCAGAAATCCATCATATGTGCTCGACTGCAGCCATCTTGATGACTGAGGATGATGGATGATGCATGACTGAATCAACACACACTAAGTGCCAGGCAAGTGCCAGCCACACGACTGTGCAAGAGATACACAAACACAGCACGTGGTTTGCTGGGGAAACAGACGCCTAAAAATTCAAGGATGGTACCAAATGCGAAGGGGGTGTTGGGGTGAGAGCAGATTACTATGGGAGCACAGAGGCGTGTGTGGAGGGGTGGCACCAGATGGGCTGTGCCCAGGGCCTAATGTTAGCCCGATGTTAGGGTTCAGCTTCCCATTCCTAAAAGAAGTCCCAGAACCTGTGGCTTGGTCCTGATTTTC